TCCCTGTGTCAGCTTCCGTGTGGGTGATTCCTGTGTCAGCTTCCGTGTGGGTGATTCCTGTGTCATCCTCTGTGTGGGTCGATCCATGTGTCAGCTTCCGTGTGAGTCGATCCCTGTGTCAGCTTCCGTGTGAGTCGATCCCTGTGTCAGCTTCCGTGTGGGTGATCCCTGTGTCAGCTCCCGTGTGGGTGATCCCTGTGTCAGCTCCCGTGTGAGTCGATCCCTGTGTCAGCTCCCGTGTGGGTGATCCCTGTGTCAGCTCCCGTGTGAGTCGATCCCTGTGTCAGCTTCCGTGTGAGTCGATCCCTGTGTCAGCTCCCGTGTGAGTCGATCCCCGTGTCAGCTCCCGTGTGAGTCGATCCCTGTGTCAGCTCCCGTGTGAGTCGATCCCCGTGTCAGCTCCCGTGTGAGTCGATCTCTGTGTCAGCTCCCGTGTGGGTCGATCGCTGTGTCAGCTCCCGTGTGTGTCGATTCCTGTGTCAGCTTCCGTGTAGGTCGGTCAACCAAACATAATACAATTTTTTCAGTCACCAATAACCTAACTTGTCCCAGTCACTAGTAATATTTAACCTAGCTTTCCCCAGTCACCAGTAATGTTTAACCTAACTTTCCCCAGTCACCAGTAATGTTTAACCTAACTTTCCCCAGTCACCAGTAATGTTTAACCTAACTTTCCCGAGTCACCAGTAATATTTAACCTAACTTTCCCCAGTCACAAGTAATGTTTAACCTAACTTTCCCCAGTCACCAGTAATGCTTAACCTAACTTTCCCCAGTCACCAGTAATGTTTAACCTAACTTTCCCCATTCACCAGTAATGTTTAACCTAACTTTCCCCAGTCACCAGTAATGTTTAACCTAACTTTCCCCAGTCACCAGTAATATTTAACCTAACTTTCCCCAGTCACTAGTAATGTTTAACCTAACTTGTCCCAGTCACCAGTAATGTTTAACCTAATTTGTCTCAGTCACCAGTAATATTTAACCTAACTTTCCCCAGTCACCAGTAATGTTTAACCTAACTTGTCCCAGTCACCAGTAATTTTTAACCTAACTTGTTCCAGTCACCAGTGATGTTTAACCTAACTTGCCCCAGTCACCAGTAATGTTTAACCTAACTTGTTCCAGTCACCAGTAATGTTTAACCTAACTTGTCCCAGTCACCAGTAATGTTTAACCTAACTTGTTCCAGTCACCAGTAATGTTTAACCTAACTTGTTCCAGTCACCAGTAATATTTAACCTAACTTGTTCCTGTCACCAGTAATGTTTAACCTAACTTGTCCCAGTCACCAATAATGTTTAACCTAACTTGTTCCAGTCACCAGTAAAGTTTTATTTGATTTGTCTTGGTCACTTACACTGTGCAACTCAACTTATATAAGTCACTAATAATGGTCAACATTCTACATATCCCGGTCACAATTAATTAATGTTGAACTTGACTGTCACTTAGAATGCTTGGTTAACCTGTGTCAGTCATTATTTTAATATCACTTGTCTCATTGACCAATAATGTTCAACTTAACTTGTCTCAGTCACTTAGAATATTTCACTCAACTTGCATAATTCACTAATAAAGTTTAACTTAACTTGTTCCAGTCAGTAATAATTTTTAACTTCTCTTGTCTCATACACTTTTAATATTTAACTTACCCTACTTCAGTTGCCAAGAATGTATAATTTAACCTGTTTCATTCTTCACTAATGTTGAACCTAACATTTCATAGTCACCAATAATGTTTAATTTGACTTGACTCGGTCACTTAGAATGTTTAACTCAAATTATTAAAGCCACCACAATATTATATTTGACATGCTGCAGTCATTTACAGTGTTCAACCAGATTCAGCCTCGTCACCTGGAATGTTAAACCTGACTTGTGGCAGTCACTCAGAGGTTTAACCTCATTTGAGCCAGGCCCTTGAAGAGTTGGTCCTGAATTATCCCGGTCATTCGGTGTTCAACCTAACTTGGGCCAGTTAGTTAGACTGTTTAGACAGACTATCACTATGTTTAACTTGATTTGCTTGTAGGCTCAGGGTTCACAGTGTCCCAGCTTCGATCAGCTGGCTGAACTCGCATAATACTACATATTAAATTATTGTATAAACGCTGAGGGGTAGGAATGAATACATACTGGATGAGAGTACCTGTTCAACAGTTGGCTATCAAAATCGAACTTGCCCGTGATTCTGGCTTTCATCACAGATTCATCACAGATTGATCAGTATCTGCTGCATCATTGCTTGTGCAGGATTACTAATAAGCTTAGACATTTTTTGTTTAAACTCATACATCGTGTTAGCTAGTGTAGGTATGATAACAAATTATTAACTCATACACCGTGTCATCTAGTGTAGGTATGATAACAAATTAATAACTCATACATCGTGTCATCTAGTGTAGGTATGATAACAAATTATTAACTCATACACCGTGTCATCTAGTGTAGGTATGATAACAAATTAATAACTCATACACCGTGTCATCTAGTGTAGGTATGATAACAAATTAATAACTCATACATCGTGTCATCTAGTGTAGGTATGATAACAAATTAATAACTCATACATCGTGTCATCTAGTGTAGGTATGATAACAAATTAATAACTCATACATCATGTCATCTAGTGTAGGTATGATAACAAATTAATAACTCATACATCGTGTCAGCTAGTGTAGGTATGATAACAAATTAATAACTCATACATCGTGTCAGCTAGTGTAGGTATGATAACAAATTAATAACTCATACATCGTGTCAGCTAGTGTAGGTATGATAACAAATTAATAACTCATACATCGTGTCAGCTAGTGTAGGTATGATAACAAATTAATAACTCATACATCGTGTCAGCTAGTGCATGTGTGATAACACATTAATAACTCATACATCGTGTCAGCTAGTGCGTGTATGATAACACATTATTAACTCCATGTGTCAACTGTCCATTTATAAATGATATGTGAAACCTAATTTGTATCCTACTATTTGCATGCCAACTAAGAGTGCCTTTCAAATGTAGTATAGCATATACAGTACACTGTATTTATCAGCTAAAGTAAAGAATGTACAGTACATTGTATATATCAGCTATAGTATAGAATTACAGTACATTGTAAATATCAGCTATAGTATAGCATGAACAGAACTTTGTATATATCAGCTATAGTATAGCATGTACAGTACATTGTATATATCAGCTATAGTATAGCATGTACAGTACATTGTATATATCAGCTATAGTATAGCATGTACAGTACATTGTATATATCAGCTATAGTATAGCACGTACAGTACATTGTATATATCAGCTATAGTATAGCATGTACAGTACATTGTATATATCAGCTATAGTATAGCATGTACAGTACATTGTATATATCAGCTATAGTATAGCATGTACAGTACATTGTATATATCAGCTGTAGTATAGCATGTACAGTACATTGTATATATCAGCTATAGTATAGCATGTACAGTACATTGTATTTATCAGCTATTGTATAGCACGTACAGTACATTGTATATATCAGCTATAGTATAGCACGTACAGTACATTGTATATGTCAGCTATAGTATAGCATGTACAGTACATTGTATATATCAGCTATAGTATAGCATGTACAGTACATTGTATTTATCAGCTATAGTATAGCATGTACAGTACATTGTATATATCAGCTATAGTATAGCATGTACAGTACATTGTATATGTCAGCTATAGTATAGTATGTACAGTACATTGTATATGTCAGCTATAGTATAGCACGTATAGTACATTGTATATGTCAGCTATAGTATAGCATGTACAGTACATTGTAAATATCAGCTATTGTATAGCATGTACAGTACATTGTATATATCAGCTATAGTATAGCATGAACAGTACATTGTATATATCAGCTATAGTATAGCATGTACAGTACATTGTATATGTCAGCTATAGTATAACATGTACAGAACATTGTATATATCAGCTATAGTATAGCATGTACAGTACATTGTATATATCAGCTATAGTATAGCATGTACAGTATATTGTATATATCAGCTATAGTATAGCATGTACAGTACATTGTATATATCAGCTATAGTATATAGCACGTACAGTGCATTGTATTTATCAGCTATAGTATAGCAGGTACAGTACATTGTATTTATCAGCTATAGTATAGCATGTACAGTACATTGTATATGTCAGCTATAGTATAGCATGTACAGTACATTGTATATGACAGCTATAGTATAGCATGTACAGTACATTGTATATGTCAGCTATAGTATAGCACGTACAGTACATTGTATTTATCAGCAGTAAATGCATAAGTAAAATTCAAGCACTTATTTCCACACCGTCTCTGTTATAGCAATGTATTTTCTCTGACATGATAAGATTTTTGGCTAATATCACAATTGTGTCTTTCACTTAACCAAATATTCAGGTCAGCCTGGAGGTAATTTTGTCTTTAACAGTTGATGGTACTTTGCATAATTGAAAACCTATAGACAACTTGTGTAGTACTGTACACATTTCAGCTATAGATTACTTGTGTAGTACTCTACACATTTCAGCTATAGATTACTTGAGTGAGTGCATCTGTGTGTGTGCGTTTGTGCGTGTGTGTATGTGTGTGTGTGTGTTTGTGTGTGGGTTTGGGCATGATTGTACGTGTGTGTGCGTGCGTGTATGCGTGTGTGCGCGTGTGTTTGTGCGTGTGTATGCATGTGTGTGCGCGTGTGTATGTGTGTGCGTGTGTGTGTATGTGCGTGTGTGTGTGTGTGCATGTGTGTGCATGTGTGTGTGTGTGCGTGTTTGTATGTGCGCGTGTGTGTATGTGTGCGTGTGTGTGAGTGTGTGCGTATAGGTGTGTGTGTGTATGTGTCTGTGCGTGTGTATATGTGCACGCGTGTGTATGTAGGTGTGTGTGCATGTGCGCATGTGTATGTGTGTGCGTGTGTGTGTATGTGTTTGTGTGTGTGTGTGTGTTTGTGGATCACACCTGGCGATCGCCCGATGCTTTAGCTTTCCTGATGTAGTCCAGCAGGCTGTGGATGATCTGGTCCTGGTCCACGTAGTCCAGGATGTAGGGGGCGTTGAGCAGGATGCCTGCCGTGCCTGCTGTGGTCACCGACAGGAAGATGATCAGCAGAAGACGGTCAATGACCCGGGCCACGAACTTCCAGTCTTCCAGAATCTGTGGACACCAACGTGAAGTGGCTACAGTAACATGGAAGCTACAGTACCAATGCGTGGCTACAGCACCATGGTGTGGCTACAGTAACATTGTGTGGCTACAGTATCATGGCGTGGCTACATTACCATGGCGTGGCTACAGTGATATGGAGTGACTACAGTTACATTATGGCTAAAGTAACTTGAGATAACAACAGTAATGTGGGGTGGCTACAGTAATATGGGGTGGCTATAGTATTATAGTGCTAATACAGTAATAATTGTGTGTATACAGTAACATTGTGTGGCTACAGTAATAAGGAGTGGCTACAGTAATATGGGGTGGCCATAGTATTATAGTGCTAATACAGTAATAATTGTGTGTATACAGTAACATTGTGTGGCTACAGTAATAAGGAGTGGCTATAGTATTATAGTGCTAATACAGTAATAATTGTGTGTATACAGTAACATTGTGTGGCTACAGTAATAAGGAGTGGCTACAGTAATAAGAAGTGGCTACAGTAACATGGCGTGGCCACAGTAACATGGCTACAGTACAGTTGTGGTGTGTGGGAGATGGGGTGGCTATAGTACAGTTGTGGTGTGTGGGAGATGGGGTGGCTATAGTACAGTTGTGGTGTGTGGGAGATGGGGTGGCTATAGTACAGTTGTGGTGTGTGGGAGATGGGGTGGCTATAGTACAGTTGTGGTGTGTGGGAGATGGGGTGGCTATAGTACAGTTGTGGTGTGTGGGAGATGGGGTGGCTATAGTACAGTTGTGGTGTGTGGGAGATGGGGTGGCTATAGTACAGTTGTGGTGTGTGGGAGATGGGGTGGCTATAGTACAGTTGTGGTGTGTGGGAGATGGGGTGGCTACAGTACAGCTGTGGTGTGTGGGAGATGGGGTGGCTATAGTACAGTTGTGGTGTGTGGGAGATTGGGTGGCTATAGTACAGTTGTGGTGTGTGGGAGATAGGGTGGCTACAGTACAGTTGTGGTGTGTGGGAGATGGGGTGGCTACAGTACAGTTGTGGTGTGTGGGAGATGGGGTGGCTACAGTACAGTTGTGGTTTGTGGGAGATGGGGTGGCTATAGTACAGTTGTGGTGTGTGGGAGATGGGGTGGCTACAGTACAGTTGTGGTGTGTGGGAGATGGGGTGGCTACAGTACAGTTGTGGTGTGTGGGAGATGGGGTGGCTATAGTACAGTTGTGGTGTGTGGGAGATGGGGTGGCTACAGTACAGTTGTGGTGTGTGGGAGATGGGGTGGCTACAGTACAGTTGTAGTGTGTGGGAGATGGGGTGGCTACAGTACAGTTGTGGTGTGTGGGAGATGGGGTGGCTACAGTACAGTTTGTGGTGTGTGGGAGATGGGGGTGGCTACAGTACAGTTGTGGTGTGTGTGGGAGATGGGGTGGCTATAGTACAGTTGTGGTGTGTGGGAGATGGGGTGGCTATAGTACAGTTGTGGTGTGTGGGAGATGGGGTGGCTACAGTACAGTTGTGGTGTGTGGGAGATGGGGTGGCTATAGTACAGTTGTGGTGTGTGGGAGATGGGGTGGCTACAGTACAGTTGTGGTGTGTGGGAGATGGGGTGGCTATAGTACAGTTGTGGTGTGTGGGAGATGGGGTGGCTACAGTACAGTTGTGGTGTGTGGGAGATGGGGTGGCTACAGTACAGTTGTGGTGTGTGGGAGATGGGGTGGCTACAGTACAGTTGTGGTGTGTGGGAGATGGGGTGGCTACAATAATATTAAATGATAGTTGAATCCACTTGCCAGCCTCAAGGGGTCAACGTTGACTGAGAAAGTCCCACACGGAGGCCAGTGCTCTGAGATAGTCCCACACGGAGGCCAGTGCTCTGAGATAGTCCCACACGGAGGCCAGTGCACTGAGATAGTCCCACACGGAGGCCAGTGCTCTGAGAAAGTCCCACACAGAGGCCAGTGCTCTGAGATAGTCCCACACGGAGGCCAGTGCTCTGAGATGGTCCCACACGGAGGCCAGTGCTCTGAGATAGTCCCACACGGAGGCCAGTGCACTGAAATAGTCCCACACGGAGGCCAGTGCTCTGAGATAGTCCCACACGGAGGCCAGTGCTCTGAGATAGTCCCACACGGAGGACAGTGCTCTGAGATAGTCCCACACGGAGGCCAGTGCTCTGAGATAGTCCCACACGGAGGCCAGTGCTCTGAGATAGTCCCACACGGAGGCCAGTGCTCTGAGATAGTCCCACACGGAGGCCAGTGCTCTGAGATAGTCCCACACGGAGGCCAGTGCTCTGAGATAGTCCCACACGGAGGCCAGTGCTCTGAGATAGTCCCACACGGAGGCCAGTGCTCTGGGATAGTCCCACACGGAGGCCAGTGCACTGAGATAGTCCCACACGGAGGCCAGTGCTCTGAGATAGTCCCACACGGAGGCCAGTGCTCTGAGATAGTCCCACACGGAGGCCAGTGCTCTGAGATAGTCCCACACGGAGGCCAGTGCTCTGAGATAGTCCCACACGGAGGCCAGTGCTCTGAGATAGTCCCACACGGAGGCCAGTGCTCTGAGATAGTCCCACACGGAGGCCAGTGCTCTGAGATAGTCCCACACGGAGGCCAGTGCTCTGAGATAGTCCCACACGGAGGCCAGTGCTCTGAGATAGTCCCACACGGAGGCCAGTGCTCTGAGAAAGTCCCACACGGAGGCCAGGTCTCTGAGATAGTCCCACACGGAGGCCAGTGCTCTGAGATAGTCCCAAACGGAGGCCAGTGCTCTAAGATAGTCCCACACGGAGGCCAGTGCTCTGAGATAGTGCCACACGGAGGCCAGTGCTCTGAGATAGTACCACACGGAGGCCAGTGCTCTGAGATAGTCCCACACGGAGGCCAGTGCTCTGAGATAGTCCCACACGGAGGCCAGTGCTCTGAGATAGTCCCACACGGAGGCCAGTGCTCTGGGATAGTCCCAAACGGAGGCCAGTGCACTGAGATAGTCCCAAACGGAGGCCAGTGCACTGAGATAGTCCCACACGGAGGCCAGTGCTCTGAGATAGTCCCACACGGAGGCCAGTGCTCTGAGAAAGTCCCACACGGAGGCCAGTGCTCTGAGATAGTCCTACACGGAGGCCAGTGCTCTGAGATAGTCCCACACGGAGGCCAGTGCTCTGAGATAGTCCCACACGGAGGCCAGTGCTCTGAGATAGTCCCACACGGAGGCCAGTGCTCTGAGATAGTCCCACACGGAGGCCAGTGCTCTGAGATAGTCCCACACGGAGGCCAGTGCTCTGAGAAAGTCCCACACGGAGGCCAGTGCACTTTTTGACCAGACCCAGGTTTGTCTACTTTTTCTGTTGGCGATGGGTTCATTTTGAGAGCACGCGACCCCTCCCCCCCCCCCTTCCTTTCAAGGGTCCACAGAAGTAACTTCTAGATCTATGAAACGTGTTCTTTGTGGCGAGTCTACAGTGGACAACCAGTCTGTTTGAGATGTGATGACAACCAGCCTGTTTGTGATGTGATGACAACCAGCCTGTTTGAGATGTGATGACAACCAGCCTGTTTGACCTGTTTGAGATGTGATGACAACCAGCCTGTTTGACCTGTTTGAGATGTGATGACAACCAGCCTGTTTGACCTGTTTGAGATGTGATGACAACCAGCCTGTTTGAGATGTGATGACAACCAGCCTGTTTGAGATGTGATGACAACCAGCCTGTTTGACCTGTTTGAGATGTGATGACAGCCAGCCTGTTTGACCTGTTTGAGATGTGATGACAACCAGCCTGTTTGAGATGTGATGACACCCAGTATAGTGCGGTCGCCTCATGGGACGAATTCGTCTCATGGACCAGGATGTCTCAGTTCCCAGAGGTAAACCTTCCATCTTATCTCACTTTTATTTTCGATCATTTTTGTTTCTTTTATTACATCTTCTAACTGTCCTAATTCTACCACAGATTAGTCTATAAAATATAGGTCTAGCCCTACATGCCCAATTGCTTAAAGGTATGGAAAAGGTTGCTTGACTCTGAGGCACACAGCTGCTCTATTGTTCTATCTTCTCCTGTGTCAGACTGTGTTCTGACGTGAGTATTTAAGAAACGGACAAAGTTATGACGTTGTAGATAATGATCCTGACGACGATGATGATGATGACGACCAAAACGATGAGCATAAAAATGATAATGACAAATCTTACTGTTTCATATTCCTCCTCACTCTTCAGATGACTGTAGATGAACTTCACCGCTTCCAGAGTTTTAGCTAGTTCTGGGGACATGCTGAAGTGACCCGATTCTGAACTGTTCAATGTGTCCTCCTTGCGACTGGAGTAGGGCGACGACTGACTTTCCGAGCTGCAGTGTCTGACGTAAGTCTCTTTGTGGTTGTGAGTGCCCAGGTTGAGCTTGCAGTGGGGATGGTGCACCTCACAGAGCTCCACGAGATCACAGCTCTTGCTGAGGCTGATGTCAAGTCGCCGAGAATCGGGGGTTGAGTGGAAAGATGGCGGCGGCGTGTAGGTAACACTCTGCCATCTCTTATCGTGGTCTGGTCTCTTCATGAAGAGATACTTGGGTAGTTCTCTGAGGAAGATAACCCTGACCCATCTCGGCATCTGGTGTGTTCTTGGCGTCCTGTAATTGCGGTTGATGATGATGATTGTAGCTAGAATGGCAACTAAATTCATGACAAAGGTGAAGAGTAGATACTTGGCAATGAGCGGGATCGTTAACGATGGCGGGAGAATTTTGGAGACCAGTAGCAGGAAGACGACAAGTGCCAGGAGAACAGAGATACATAAAGTGATCTTCTCTCCCGCGTCGGCTGGCAGGGCGAAGACGCAGATACTCACGAAGGAGATGAGGACGCACGGAATGATGAGGTTGACTGTGTAGAAGAGTGTCTTCCTTCTCAAGATGAACTCGAAGACGATCTGCTCCTTCTCGTCGCCGGAGACGTCGTCCCTGATGGTGACAATCTTGCCAGGGCAGTCAATGATGTCCCAGCTGCCACTCTTGAGGTAGTCGGTCAAGTCTAGTTTGTCCATGTTTAGGTAGAAGCTGTAGTTTAGCGCGTTGCCCCGGTGTGTCCAGGAGCCGAACTTCATCTCGCATCGCTGCTGGTCAAACGGGAAGTACATGACGTCAATGGAGCATGAACTTTTATAGATGGCCGGGGGAATCCAGTTGACCTCGGCGTTGTGGTACAGGACACAGTTGGACTTGTAGGTCACTTCATAGTTGCCGTCAGCGCTGGGGAAATAGCACACACACATAGGGATATTACAATGTCACGTTTGAGTGGCTACCAGCTGGGGTGGGGGTGTCTACACAGATCTGACAAAGGTAACAAACCTAGCACATGTTACAATGACACGGTTGAGAGGACACCAGCCCCAGGTTTAGGGGGGGGGGGGGGAAGATAACAAATGTGGGTATCAGGAAGAAAATGTTTTAATTGACATCAGAAACAGTAACTGCATAGAGAAAGACTAAACAAGATCATTACCATAGTCATCATCTTCACCACTGTCATCATCTTCTTCCCTGTCATCATATTCATCACTGTCATCATCTTCTTTACTGTCATCATCTTCTTCACTGTCATAATTTTCTTCACTGTCATAATATTCTTCACTGTCATCATCTTCTTCCCTGTCATCATCTTCACCACTGTCATCATCTTCACCACTGTCATCATCTTCTTCCCTGTCATCATCTTCACCACTGTCATCATCTTCATCACTGTCATCATCTTCTTCACTGTTATCATCTTCTTCACTGGCATCATCTTCACCACTGTCATCATCTTCATCACTGTCATCATCTTCTTCACTGTCATCATCTTCATCACTGTCATCATCTTTTTCACTGTCATCATCTTCTTCACTGTCATCATCTTCATCACTGTCATCATCTTCTTCCCTGTCATCATCTTCTTCCCTGTCATCATCTTCTTCACTGTCATCATTTTCTTCACTGTCATCATCTTCTTCACTGTCATCATATTCTTCACTGTCATCATCTTCTTCACTGTCATCATCTTCATCACTGTCATCATTTTCTTCACTGTCATCATATTTTTCACTGTCATCATATTCTTCACTGTCATCATATTCTTCACTGTCATCATCTTCTTCACTGTCATCATCTTCATCACTGTCATCATTTTCTTCACTGTCATCATATTCTTCACTGTCATCATATTCTTCACTCCCATCATCTTCTTCACTGTCATCATCTTCTTCCCTGTCATCATTTTCACTACTGTCATCGTCTTCACCACTGTCATCATCTTCTTCACTGTCATCATCTTCTTCACTGGCATCATCTTCACCACTGTCATCATCTTCATCACTGTCATCATCTTCTTCACTGTCATCATCTTCTTCACTGTCATCATCTTCTTCACTGTCATCATCTTCTTCACTGTCATCATCTTCTTCACTGTCATCATATTCTTCACTGTCATCATCTTCATCACTGTCATCATCTTCTTCACTGTCATCATCTTCTTCACTGTCATCATATTCTTCACTGTCATCATCTTCTTCACTGTCATCATATTCATCACTGTCATCATCTAGTACATTTCTGGCTTCTTCTGACAGTTTTCCTTTGCCCGTTTCCTGGCTGACTTTCTGAGAGAATCGTGACTGTGTTGTGTAGTACGTGACTACCTGAAGTGTTTGTTTTGTGTAGTACGTGACTACCTGAAGTGTTTGTTTGGGGCGGAAAACGTTACTTGTACCGACTACTTATTCTTACAGATCACAGCTGGGCACAAAACGTGTGGATCAAGTGCACTGACGTCATACCCACATAAAAGGTCCTGAAGGACAGACGAAGGACAAACCTGTAGAAGGTCCTGAAGGACAGACGAAGGACAAACCTGCAGCCAGAATAGGGCGCTTTTCTAAGACAGACGTTGAACCTGATGCATCCTTAAGAAGCGTTGTATACCTGACAGATTTTCAGGACAGTTCTTATGAGTGTTGTATACCTGACAGATTTTCAGGACAGTTCTTATGAGTGTTGTATACCTGACAGATTTTCAGGACAGTCTTAATGAGTGTTGTATACCTGACAGATTTTCAGGACAGTCTTAATGAGTGTTGTATACCTGACAGATTTTAAGGACAGTCTTAATGAGTGTTGTATACCTGACAGATTTTAAGGACAGTCTTAATGAGTGTTGGTTACCTGACAGATTTTAAGGACAGTCTTACTGAGTGTTGGTTACCTGACAGATTTTAAGGACAGTCTTACTGAGTGTTGGTTACCTGACAGATTTTAAGGACAGTCTTAATGAGTGTTGGTTACCTGACAGATTTTAAGGACAGTCCTAATGAGTTTTGGTTACTTGACTGATTTTTTGGACAATTTGATAGTTGGGGCTAGGACAAGGATAACTCGGTTCAAACTCTCTTATCACTGGCGAGTGTGGCGTCGTGTGCACATCACAGTTAACACCATAATGGGCCGTGCCGGCTGGCGTCAGTGATCAGACGAGAGACAAAGTGCCAAGTTGTGTCACGCCAGTTTACGACGAATGATTGTGTGCTTTTATTTGCAAACGAAGAAAGGAATGCTTGAGGATTCGACCAATTTCTGCAACTTGAGATGTCCTTACTGCTGGTTATACATGTGAAAATATGTCAAACATAATATCTGCAGGCACATACTGCAGGCACATACATACTGCAGGCACATACTGCAGGCACATTCTGCAGGTACCATACTGTCAACATCCACGCTCGTCCATATAGGGACATAATGTCACGTGACTTACTTGTTAAAGAGCACAAAGTCTGGAACCCAGACCTTCTCAGGCCGTATGCGGATAGAATCGATGTTGCCATAGAGTGCCGGGTCCCAACGAAGTTGGTAGTCATGCCAGTACTGGAGACGTACAGACATACCACACTAGTTAGTCAACATATTCAAATATATGAAAAATACAAACATACCACACTAGTTAGTCAACATATTCAAATATATTAAATATACAGGCATGCCACACTAGTTAGTCAACATATTCAAATATATTAAATATACAGACATGCCACACTAGTTAGTCAACATATTCAAATATATTAAATATACAGACATGCCACACTAGTTAGTCAACATATTCAAATATATTAAATATACAGACATGCCACACTAGTTAGTCAACATATTCAAATATATTAAATATACAGACATGCCACACTAGTTAGTCAACATATTCAAATATATTAAATATACAGACATGCCACACTAGTTAGTCAACATATTCAAATATATTAAATATACAGACAAGCCACACTAGTTAGTCAACATATTCAAATATATTAAATATACAGACATGCCACACTAGTTAGTCAACATATTCACATATATTAAATTTACAGACATGCCACACTAATTAGTCAACATATTCAAATATATTAAATATACAGACACGCCACACTCAGTTATTCAACATATTCAAAAATATTAAATATACAGACATACCACACTAGTTAGTCAACATATTCAAATATATTAAATATACAGACATACAACACTAGTTAGTCAACATATTCAAATATATTATTTATAACAGACATGCCACACTAGTTAGTCAACATATTCAAATATATTAAATTTACAGACATGCCACACTATTTAGTCAACATATTCAACTATATTAAATATACAGACATACCACACTAGTTAGTTTGCATATTCAAACTATATTAAATATACAGACATACCACACTAGTTAGTCAACATATTCAAATATAATAAATATACAGACATACCACACTAGTTAGTCAACATATTCCCATATATTAAATGTACAGACATAATACACTAGTTAGTCTTCTTCTTCTTCTTCTTCTTTTTCTTCTGCTTCTTCTTCTTCTTCTTTTTCTTCTTCTTCTTCTTCCTCTTCTTCTTCTTCTTCTTTTTTTTCTTCTTCTTCTTCTTCTTCTTCTTCTTCTTTTACCGCTGTGGTTGTCGAGGGAGATATAAGGTTCTGTTTCAAGCTCTTCTGGCCGCCTCGACCATAGGCACATCGTGCTGTTGTAGAGTTTCTCTGATGTTATCCTTTCATATTGTTTTTGGTCTACCTCGTGCTCTACGTCCTTCTTCTCTTTCCATGTATGCTTTGTATGGTATGGTGTCACAAGGCATTCTTTCTAAGTGGGCAAACCATTTCACTTGCTGTCTTTGTATGTAATTTAGAATTGGTTCTGTGCCGACATTTTCTCTTATGATCTCATTCCTGATCTTATCTCTTATGGTCACTCCTACAGCCCTTCTCAGACATCTCATTTCCATGGTTACTAATTTTCTTTTATGGTTTGTTGTGAGTGACCATGTCTGGCACTGGTAGCACAGAGTTCGAATAAATATGCTTTAAATAAGATGTCTCTTTGTGCTGATTGGGATTGTCTTATGCTGTAAGAGGGGGGCTTGCTGTCTCAATACTTGGTTTGCTTTACTGCATCTAATGTTAATTTCTTTATCCAATTTCCCATCTTCGGTAAATGTAGTTCCCAGATATTTAAACTCAGATGCCTGTTTAATGCCTTTTTTACACTCTATTGCTATGTTTAGATCTGTCTTCTTTTTTCCTATTGACATTACTTCTGTCTTTTCAGTGTTGATTCTCATATTATATGTTTTACATTCTTTATTTATGGATGTTTGATGTTGTTGCAATTTCATGGCTGTATCTGCTATCAATGCCTGGTCATCTGCAAAGAGTCATTCGTTGATCTTACTAACATTTTCATTCATGGGCTTGGCATTCTTGCATATACTGTCAATGTAGGTGATAAACAGCAGTGGTGATAAGACACACCACTGTATTACTCCAGATGTTACTGTACTAGTTAGTCAACATATTCAAACATATTAAATATACAGACATACCGCACTAGTAAGTCAACATATTCACATATATTAAAAATACAGATATACCACACTAGTTAGTCAACATATTCACATATATTAAAAATACAGAAATACACTCTTGTTAGTCAACATATTCACATATATTAAAAATACAGACATACCACACTAGTTAGTCAACATATTCAACTATATTAAATATACAGACATACCGCACTAGTAAGTCAACATATTCACATATATTAAAAATACAGACATACCACACTAGTTGGTCAACATATTCAAATATATTAAATAAAGAGACATACCGCACTAGTTAGTCAACATATTCAAATATATTAAATATACAGACATAGCACACTAGTTGGTCAACATATTCAAATATATTAAATATACAGACATACCACACTAGTTGGTCAACATATTTAAATATATTAAATATACAGACATACCACACTAGTTGGTCAACATATTTAAATATATTAAATATACAGACATGCCACACTAGTTAGTCAACATATTCACATATATTAAATATACAGACATACAGCACTAGTTAGTCAACATATTCACATATATTAAATATACAGACATACCGCACTAGTAAGACAACATATTCACATATATTAAATATACAGACATGCCACACTAGTTAGTCAACATATTTAAATATATTAAATATACAGACATACCACACAAGTTAGATAACATATTCACATATATTAAATATACAGACATACCACACTAGTTAGATAACATATTCACATATATTAAATATACAGACATACCACACTAGTTAGATAACATATTCACATATATTAAATATACAGACATACCACACTAGTTAGATAACAAATTCACATATATGAAATATACAGACATGCCACACTAGTTAGTCAACATATTTAAATATATTAAATATACAGACATACCACACTAGTTAGATAACATATTCACATATATTAAATATACAGACATACCACACTAGTTAGATAACAAATTCACATATATTAAATATACAGACATACCACACTAGTTGGTCAACATATTTAAATATATTAAATATACAGACATACCACACTAGTTGGTCAACATATTTAAATATATTAAATATACAGACATGCCACACTAGTTAGTCAACATATTCACATATATTAAATATACAGACATACCGCACTAGTTAGTCAACACATTCACATATATTAAATATACAGACATACCACACTAGTTAGATAACATATTCACATATATTAAATATACAGACATACCACACAAGTTAGATAACATATTCACATATATTAAATATGCAGACATGCCACACTAGTTAGTCAACATATTTAAATATATTAAATATACAGATATACCACACTAGTTAGATAACATATTCACATATATTAAATATACAGACATACTACACTAGTTAGATAACAAATTCACATATATTAAATATACAGACATACCACACTAGTTGGTCAACATATTTAAATATATTAAATATACAGACATACCACACTAGTTGGTCAACATATTTAAATATATTAAATATACAGACATGCCACACTAGTTAGTCAACATATTCACATATATTAAATATACAGACATACCGCACTAGTTAGTCAACACATTCACATATATTAAATATACAGACATACCGTACTAGTTAGTCAACACATTCACATATATTAAATATACAGACATACCGTACTCGTAAGACAACATATTCACATATATTAAATATACAGACATGCCACACTAGTTAGTCAACATATTTAAATATATTAAATATACAGACATACCACATTAGTTAGATAACATATTCACATATATTAAATATACAGACATACCACACAAGTTAGTCAACATATTCACATATATTAAATATACAGACATACCACACTAGTTAGATAACATATTCACATATATTAAATATACAGACATACCACACTAGTTAGATAACATATTCAAATATATTATTTATAACAGACATGCCACACTAGTTAGTCAACATATTCAAATATATTAAATTTACAGACATGCCACACTAGTTGGTCAACATATTTAAATATATTAAATATACAGACATACCACACTAGTTGGTCAACATATTTAAATATATTAAATATACAGACATGCCACACTAGTTAGTCAACATATTCACATATATTAAATATACAGACATACAGCACTAGTTAGTCAACATATTCACATATATTAAATATACAGACATACCGCACTAGTAAGACAACATATTCACATATATTAAATATACAGACATGCCACACTAGTTAGTCAACATATTTAAATATATTAAATATACAGACATACCACACAAGTTAGATAACATATTCACATATATTAAATATACAGACATACCACACTAGTTAGATAACATATTCACATATATTAAATATACAGACATACCACACTAGTTAGATAACATATTCACATATATTAAATATACAGACATACCACACTAGTTAGATAACAAATTCACATATATGAAATATACAGACATGCCACACTAGTTAGTCAACATATTTAAATATATTAAATATACAGACATACCACACTAGTTAGATAACATATTCACATATATTAAATATACAGACATACCACACTAGTTAGATAACAAATTCACATATATTAAATATACAGACATACCACACTAGTTGGTCAACATATTTAAATATATTAAATATACAGACATACCACACTAGTTGGTCAACATATTTAAATATATTAAATATACAGACATGCCACACTAGTTAGTCAACATATTCACATATATTAAATATACAGACATACCGCACTAGTTAGTCAACACATTCACATATATTAAATATACAGACATACCACACTAGTTAGATAACATATTCACATATATTAATATATACAGACATACCACACAAGTTAGATAACATATTCACATATATTAAATATGCAGACATGCCACACTAGTTAGTCAACATATTTAAATATATTAAATATACAGATATACCACACTAGTTAGATAA